CTCGATCCCAGGACCCTGGGATCATGACCTGAGCCGAAGGCAGACGCTTAACAACTGAGCCACCCAGGCGCCCCTGTCTCTCCCTCTTCTTGTAACATCGAGAAAATTCATTCTTTTTCGAGAGTCTCCGTTTCCCCTTCTGTATAAGGGGGGGGGGGCAGAACTTTTATACTATTCACATCACAGACAAGAAAATCCTTGATAGGACATCCTATCATCTACAAAATGTGCAGCATTTGAACAATTATTATTATTCCATGGGCACAGAAGAGCTGAGACCAGAAAGGAACCAAGGCTGGGAGTTCCCTTGGCCCCACGCTGTCCAAACCCCCTGGGTTCAGCTGAGGCTGGAGCGGGTACAGCAGGCGTAAGACTTATTTCCGGAAGCCAGAGGAAATACACTTCTCATGGCTAATTTCCTTGAGGGGAACCAGCTGGGCGCTCACCTCACCCTCCTCCCTCCCTCCTCAACCCACCTGCTTCCTGGGGCTTCTGGGCATGGGGAAGGGGTACTCAGCCCTCTCTTCTCCCCACCTGAGATCTGCCCACCATCAAACCCTCAAAATCACAGAACGGAGACTCTAAGAATTCCACAATGCCACAGGTCTCTATGCCCCAACTGGGAGTGCAAGGCTATTTCTGACCCCTTCCTGGTACACGTGGGGAAACTGAGGGCCAGAGCAGCAAGACCCTTGTCTGAGTCATGTGATGTGTCAGGACCGGGCAGATCTCCCGTCATTCTTAACCCAAGAGCTTCCCCTTTCCCCGAATGTTTTCTCTCCTCACTCCCTGTGCTCCTGTAATGTTTCTCAAGTCTTTCTGGGGTTGTCAGCCCCCTTTGAGAATCTGCTAAAATATAGAAGGAAGGACTTTCTCACCACCAAAAAGCAAGTGACCACAGTGTCTTTGTGCCCCTCTAACACCTGATTCCCTTGCCCAGCCTCTGGGGGTCAAGCTCCTCTTCAGCTTGAGCTTTATTTGGGATTCAACCCCCAAATCTTTAAAAAGAAGCTCTCCCTATCCCCCAGGCCCCCTTCTTTGGTCCCTGCTAGCCCCTCCCAGGAAAGGGCAGAGAGATAAGCCCAAGTGTGGAGTGATAGTGAGGGGACCAGAAGGACCGGTCAGACCCCGGCCCCCACTTTATGCCTCAGCTGCTCAAGCCAGATAAGTCTCTGGGCCACTCTTAAATCCAGCAAGGCTAAAGGACTCTGGAGGGTTGAGAGGACCAGAGGGAGAGGTGATGCAGCTCCCCCCATCCCTGGCCACCCTCAGGGTTCACTCACCAGCCTTGTCCTAGAAGCCACCAGACTGCCTCTCTGCCCCCCTTCCCTCCTCTGTCGGCTCCTGCTTACCGCCACCCCCTTGGCAGCCCCGGGGGACAGGCCAGCTCCGGTCTGCTCATTAGGGGACGAAATGTGATCACCGCGCCTCGCTCCCCACCTGGTGCCCTGGCGGCCGGCGGAAACCAGGGGGCAGTCAGGCCTCCGTGACCACCTCGCTGGGCCTCAGTTTCCCCATTTCTACCAAAGGGGTCCCCGTCTTCCCCCCCCCCGCTCACACACCACCCAGAAGGGACACCAGGGTCCTCCTACTCGACCCCTCCGACACCATCCATTCCAGCACTCAAAAAATCCTCAGGATCTATTGTTAGTCCTGTTCATGGTTTACTGTTCTATTATTGTAACATTCTAGAGCTTTACCTTTCTTCCATTCTATTATTATTATCCTAGCGGCTTTCCATGTCCTTCCCCTTCAAGTTTCTAATATTCCAGGAGTCTCACATTCCAAGATTCTAAAGTTCTATTGTTAGAACGCTCTATGATTTTTTTTTAAACATTCTACGACTTTCATCATCTATTATTAAACTCTCAGTGATTATTATCTTGGCCCAGCAAACACAAATACGTATTTCCCCTCTTTTTTTACAGAAATGGGAACACACTCTATATACCGTGAATCCCTCTTCCTTTTCCCCCCTTTTCTCTTCTGCTTGTTAACCGCCCAGCAGCCTGAAGGCCCAAGGTGGCACAGAATTCTAAAATATGGGGGGTTCACGGGAGGTTGGGGGGAGTGCGCTGTCACCTCCACCTAGCTCCTAAATTCTCCCTGCCCTGGGGTACTACTAGGAGCCCAGAAGCCTAGGCTGCCTCCATCCCCTGGCCGCCCTGCTGGCCTGCCCTCATCCCTCCAGCTCACTCACACCAGCTGAGTTATTATTTGTCTAGACACAAACCAAATTATAGGCCCTGTCCCGAGGGAGCAGTGGGCTTCATGGGGAGGGTCAGGAGACAGAAGCGGGCCAGAGTTAATCCCTGCCCCCCCCATTTCCCTTCCCCTCTTCCCTCCTTCTCTGAAAATCCACTCCTCCCACCCAAACCAACTCTTGTCCCCTCTCCCCTCCCCAGCACCATGGTTTGGGAAATATTTTCTCTTCTCTGCTTCTCAAAGGCTCCCCTCTGGATTCCAGCTTTTCATACTCACCCTGGCATTCTTCCCTCCTCACTGTGAAGACCTCTTTTCCCAAATTAATCCGACTTAGTGGCAGCAAAAGAAGCCAGCTCTCTGGATTTGGGCTTCAGTTGAAATGGCACGGACTCATTGTGAGGACTTCGGCTCCTGGGCCTCAGTTTTCCCATCTGTAACATGGGTGCTTGACCTCGATGGCTCGGTAAGCCCTTTGAGCTCTCTCTGCTTGGAACACTGAAAGCTGCCCAAGATTCCGACACTAATCTTTTTGGATTGAAGGATTCATATATCCTGAGGACTTGTGATTTGAAGGTTGTGGAACCCCAGTCCTCCCTCTGATCATTCTCACATCCTGAATCCTTCCTTTCAAAGACCACACCTAACGGTTCTTGATTACGATTCCCAGAGCTCAAGAGCCACCCATCATCCCTCTCATTTCCTCCTACTGGGACCCTTCAGAAAGGGAAACCTCCCCATCCTCAACCCAAACCTGAAGTTGAGTTCATCTGCAGAGACAGAGCTTGGGAGGTACCCTCTTGGTGGGTTCAGGAGGAGGGGGGCTGGTGGTGGGGGTCGAGTGGCGTGGGGGCGCTAGGGAGTGGCCCCTATCATCTCCATCTGTGCCAGCAAGTAAATCCCCCAGCGCACATCCTGCCTGAGTACACAACACACATCCCACCACGAACAGTGGCTCACAGAAATTCCAGAGCTGTCCCTCAGCCTTGTTGGGGGTGGTGGGATGTCCAGTGCAAGCAGGGGGTGGGGGGAGTGAGGTGGAGGCAGGAAGGAGTTAATGGTGACCTAGCCAAATCCTGGAAGGGAGGAAGTGGGGGAGGAAGTCTACCCCCCCAGCCAGGAATTCCTGAAATTGGAGGGTGGGGTGGGTGCGACCTCAGGAGCAGTGGGGTGACTCTCTAAAGGGGGCACTGGGGTTACAGTGTCCCTCAGAGTCCACCTGTCCCAAGGCAACCCTACTCCCCCCCCTCCTACTCCCAAGCAGCTCCTCAGCCCAGCGGAAAGCTTGGGGATGCACCAGAATTTGGAATGAGATGACGATGGGGTCAAGGTGCCAGAAGAGGGTCTCAAGATACACGGAGTAAGAGACAGAAATACAGGAGAGAGACAGGAAGAGAAAGCGCAAAGAGATGCACAGAGACAGGGAGAACCACGGAGTTGGAGGCAGAGGGATTGAGCTCGAGAGACTGAGGGTTAGAGGCAAAGGGAGACGGGGAGAATGGGTACAGAGACGGAGAGAGAGCCAGAGCCAGAGCCAGACGGAGAAGCAGAGAGAAAGAACGAGACACAGAGACATCCAGAGATGCAGAAGGAGAGGCCCACCCAGAGGGAGGGAGGACCGCAGACAGCGACCCATCCGAGACGGGCGGAGAGAGGGAGACAGACCCACAGACACGGTCTGCGGGGAGACGGCGGGAGCGCCAACACCGGAGAGGGGCGGGGACCGGCCGGCGCGGGAGACTGAGCCACCGACGCAGGGGCGCAGAGCCCCCGAGGGGAGCGCCGAGGAGGGGCCCCGCGGGGGCCGGACGCCCGGCGCGGGCAGGGGAAGGAGAGGCGCCT